GGAATGATCGAACTTGGAAGGGGAAACAAGGGTCTCCTGGAGATGTTGCTCTGTGACAACCTGTTCCGAGATTTACAGAACAAAAAGGGCATTTTTGTAATTTCACTAAGTTTGGGATATTTGTTTTGAAATGGGCTTACTTTTTTGTGTTAAATGGTGTGCCCAAGGGGCCCACCCCTGATTTTGGTCCCCTGACTCTCCCCTCTACTCGCTTGCCACGTAGCAGCACCCTATCTCATTCTCTCTTTCCCCCCTCCAAGTTAACACCCTCTCTCCCTCTCTCAATTCACTCATACTCTTTTTCTTCCCTGATCTACACACACACACCTATTTCACACACCTACTGGCAACGATTACAACATCACCACCACCGTCAAGCAGACTCTGTCTCTCTCCCTCGTCTCTATGAAGTTTGGCGAGACCGAAAACCCAAGCCGGCGAACTCGTGGTGTTCAAGCCCGAAGTCTGGCCACTTTGGACCATTTCACGGTAAATGGAAGGTACAAACCTCTTCCGCTTCCTTGTATTTTCCTTTTAATTGGTAGATTATAGGTTAAATCATCAAATTACCGTTGATCTGAGCTTAGGAGGCTCCAGCCTTCCTTCCCAACGAGAATCAGGTCAATCCACCTACACCCGGAGCCCAAGCCCTTTAGCCCAAAGCTTTGGGCCGGGCCTTCAAACCCAAGCCCATTAAAAACCCAAAACCCTCTTTGAACCCTACCCAAAGCCAGGCCTTCGAGTCGAGTTGACACGGGCCTTAAGCTTAATGAACCTAGGCTCAACCTTGCAGCCCGATTCCTTGGATTCAGGCTTTCAGGCCGCTCCAACCTAGGCCTCCAACCCATTGAACCCAAAGATAAACTCAAGCCCAAAACCCTTTAAGCCCCAACCCAACCTATTGAACCGGTCTTACCCAAACCCCAAGCCTGTTTGACCCAACCCGTGACTCGACCTGGTTTGACCTGTTAACTTCGGTCAATGTTAACCGTTGACTTTGACCGTTGACCGGTCAACGTTGACTTTTTTGGGTTTGGGTCGGGATCCCTCCTAGGCTAATTTTGACATCATGTATCCATTTCCAACGTCCGTTTTCTGAAATTCAATAGTTATAGTAGAGTTTTATTGATTGGACCCTTTATGTGCTTAGGTGCATTTATTAGCGGCGTTTCCGTCATTCCTATTTCGCACGGCTCTTCGACGATAGAGTATGGTGAGTGGACCCTTTCTAAAATGCATGTTTTAACAGTAGAAATGCATACATGAAAAGCATGATTTAGTGGTTACGTTTTATGAGTAAATTAAATTTACACCTTATGATTATCATGCTTTACTGAGAATATTTTGGAATACCATACTTTATTGAACTTATGTTCTTTGTAGTATATATGATGGATGACTGTATACTATTTATGAACGTATTTTTACACTTCTTTGTAGTATATATGATGGATGACTATATGCTCTGAAGATGTTCTAGAGATATATGTATTTATGTTAGAAAGAGTATATTCAATGTTTTCGTGTTTATCTAGTGGCCAATGTTCTGCTTACGGGCGATGATACTTGTATATTGGCTTCGACCAGGAGATATAGATGTTGATTTTGGGCCGAGAGATATAGTTGTTGGCTTCAGGCCGGGAGATATAGTTGTTGGCTTCGAGCCGGGAAATATAGTTATTGGTTTCGGGCCAGGAGATATCAGTACTACGAGCGACCATGACACCACTACTTAGCACACTATATAGGATATATGTTTTATGAAGGTTTTATGGCATGCTAGGGTTTTTAGAAGACCTATTACATATTATACTATTGAGTTTTCATAAAACTTTGGGGGTTAGTATGTTGATAACTGTTTCAGTATTATATATATATATATATATATATATCAACTTGGTCCACTCATGTTTGTTTTGCGCCCCCTCAGGACTTAGAATCGAGGCATACAATCTAGGAGTTAAGGCACTTCTACATCTGCATCTTCAAGTCCTCTCGGTGTAAGACTCATTCCTTTGTTCATTCAATTTTATATTTTTTTTCTTTTTAATGTTCTAGTTAGTTGTATGCTTTGAACAAGTTCCTAAGTTGCATATTCATGGTATTTTAATTTATAAGTATTTATTTATATTCGTTAATCTCATGCATCCTAACATGGCTTCGTCACCTTCGGGTGACAGCCAGCACATGCCTACCCTAGTTTCGGGGAATGTCAGGGTCGGGCGTGTCATGCTCAGCAGGCCGTGGCCTGGTTGCAGGAATTCCAGGTTGCGGTAGATCTCACACCTGCTGCTCAGCAACCGTTCCCCCGAGTTGGGCATGGGGAAGGTAGTGGTGCGAGGCATGAGGGGGTGGCGGAGGATTTGGTGAGATTGAATGTGGATGAAGCAACTAAATTGCAGGAACGGGTAGGGGGGCTGATGTGGTACTCCAAGATGTGCATGGATCTTTTGTGGTAGCATCGGCATGTTTTCTTCCCATGGTGTTGTCGACCCTTCAAGCTAAATTATTAGCGGTTAAGTATGGAATTGCACTGGCTCAAAAGCTTGGCTATCAGAAGATTCAAGTTGAAAGTGACTCATCCCAAGCAATTTCCATCATTAATACTTGTGTAGATCGTGCTTCAGCTATGGATTTGTTAGTGGGGGATGTCTTATATATTGCAAATTCTTTTACTGCTTCTATTTCCATTTCTAGGAATAATAATGGTATTGCTTATTGTTTGGAAAAGGTAGCATTGTCAATTGGGACAAGAGTAGTTTGGGTTAAAGAGCCTTCTAGCGTTATTTTGGATCTCCTCATCCAAGAAACTTTGTAATCTTTACAAGTTAATGATATTGTCTTCTCTTCGAGGAAAAAAAAAATGGTATTCATGCCAAGAGAAATGCTATTGGATGTTTTAATCTATTTGTTTGTCTGTCGAGTATGCCTTACGAGATTGTACCTTGGCGAGGGTAGTTTGGTTTCAAAGTTTGGGACTAAGGGTGGAGATGGACCACGGGCTTCCTCTAGTGCATTGGATCTATCGGTTATCTTTGCAGCTTCAGTCATCTGGTTTTGAATTTTGTTTGATGTTGATTTGGGCTCTTTGGAAGCAAAGGAATGATATGGTTTAGAATAGTATTTCGCTCCCACCACTTAAGGTCATGCTGAGAACTAAGGGATGGTTGATTGAGTTTCATAAATGGCATAAGGGGGCTGTTAAAAAGGCTAGCCGAGAGTTGCAGCAGTGCTAGAAACCTGAAGTTGGTTAGATCAAGTGCAATTTTGATGGACCATGGAGTCGAAATGGGATTCGAGGGGGCTTCAGGGTGGTAATTCGTGATCATTTGGGGGGAGTTTTTGGCTACTTCTGCAGGTCCTATTGAGATGACACAATCTACATTTCATGTGGAATTGATTGCTCTTCAAAATGCAGTTTTATTGGTTAAAAATAATTGTCCTATTGGCTAGAAGATTATTTTTTAAGGAGACTCTAGCTTGATGCTCATGGCAATGAAGGATCAAGGGGAAGATTGCTCATCCTTGGGTCCTGTAATAAACGATGTTAGATTCATCCTCAAAGGGATGGCTCACTCGAGGTTTACCCATGTGCAGCGGGAGGGCAATTCTGCAGCTCATCGTCTTGCTCGTATGGGCATTGGGAGTTCTCAAGAGTTTATGTGGTTTGAGGAGCCTGCGGATTTACTCCAAGATGTTTTAGTTGAGGAGGGAATGTAATTTTTTTATTGTTCAGCTGAGGATAGGTTACATTGTTGTGCGGGATACTTTTTTTCCCTTCAATCGGGTTGAAATCCCCGACAAAGTTTTTATCGAGGACCAGTATGCACACTGTCCTCAGGTTGTACGTATTCTTTGCTGTTTAATGAATATCGTACCGTTTCTCACAAAAAAAAAAAAAAAAAAAGTGAGATTGTTCATGGACTCTTTGCTGACTTTCTGTCACCTCATCGTTGTGGCACAATTCTCATGCCAATATTATAAAACAATGTGCCAAAAGAATGATGTGGCAGAGAGTTCATGAAGAGTCTCACTTTGTGAGAGTCTCCTTAATATTTCTCTTCATGCTAAATGTTGGACCATTTGCATATAATTCACATGATCTTGGAAATTAAAACAAGAATTTATATGACGTAAAGCATGATGTGGTGTTGGATAAAATTCCTCTAATTAAAAAGGTCAAAATATACTCGCAAGGAAAAGTTTTAATACAAAACTCACTCCCTCTCTCAATCATGTTAAACTCTTCCATAATCCTCATGCACGACATACATTATTGAGATTTAAGCTTAGTTTGGTATGGATGATTGGATTGAAACGGATAGATCATTATTTTCAATGTTCGTAGAAGGAAGAAATGAAAATATTGTGTCCAATTTAGATATATTGGATTACTCATGAAAAAAGAAAAGTTTGTAATCCTAGAGACCAAACAAGACCCTCCCATGATAATGATTTTAGGAATAATCGTTCTTCTCTAATTAGTTTCGTAGGTTAATGAACCGAGCATTATTGTCATTAATCTCAAAATGGGTTTTACACTTTACAAGGGGCGTTGCAGTAGCCAATGACTAATTTCCCATCGCTATGTAGTTGTATTCTTATCATAACATAAGAAAAGAGAAACGCAAGAATCGAACTTTAGTTGCATATGTGTGAGTCCTCTACACGTTGTAAGCTTCCAAGTTGTAACAAGTCAAACCCTTCAATCCTTGTGTATAAAACAACTTCTCTTGTATAGTTGATAGTTCAGTTCATTGACAATCTAATAGCACTCTCATTCTTTCTATTTTACTTTCAATTTTCAAACATTATTCCGGAGAAAAATAAAACAAAACAGATATTTCGTAAATAAAAATTGGGACAACTTTATTTATGCCCTAATTTTTATGATCACGAAATCAACAAAGGGGTGACATTAAAAAATGTAAAAAAATCAAGAAAAACACAAATAAAAACAGAGTGGTCCACGCGTGCCAATGTTTGTAGTTGTGCACTTGTGTGTGTGTGTGTGTGTTTGCAAAGGGTGTGAGCTTCAAGCGTGCTGAAGAGGCACTCACGTGCGAGGGGGGCTTATAAATACGCATGTAGAGAAACGGCACCACCAACACAAAGTTGGGAGGTTTTTCTGAGTTGAATTTTCTTTTTTCCTGGAACACAGAGGTCAGAAGCAAAACAGAGACAGAGGAACTGGCAAAAGAAAAAAGAAAAAGTTGTCTTGAATTATTCATTAGATTTTGTAAAGTGACTGAAAAAGTTGAGAGAAATGGAGATTGAGAGTGAAATGCAGCAGCAATCCAGGTTTAGGAGGATTTGTGTGTTTTGTGGGAGCAGCCAAGGGAAGAAGAGCAGCTACCAGGATGCTGCCATTGAGCTTGGCAAAGAACTGGTATGTAACGATGGCTTCTTCTTCTTCTTTTTCCTTTGAAAGGCGATAGGATATTATACATTTAAATTTATCTAAACTACGTGGAGAGTGATTCGAACTTGGGTTTAGAGGGGAGAGCATATAGGTTCAAATATAGTTTTATGCCGATTTCTTGACACATGGGTTCTTGGAAAAGTTTTTTGAATTTTTCTCTCATTTGGATTTGAATGTGATTTTTGAGCATGTTTTTGCGTTTGTTTCTTGTTTTGTGAGATGGGTTTTGCTTGGAATTAGCTGATTATCATTGTGTTTTTGTTATGTTTTCATGTTAACTTGTTCTGTTTTTATTGGGACAACCACATTATGATTTTAACTTGTCTGTCGCTTGGGTCATGAGAGTTTTGGAGAAATTTTAGCAGAATGCATGCCAAAAAAATGTTGCTCTCTCTCTCTCTCTCTCTCTAAACTCATAACTTGAACATTTTTGTTGAAGGTTTCAAGGAACATTGATCTGGTGTATGGAGGGGGCAGCATAGGACTGATGGGTTTGGTTTCACAAGCTGTTCATGATGGTGGTCGCCATGTCATTGGGTACTTTTATTTTATCAAATCTCAGATTATTAAAAGAAAAAAGAGATTAAGAAATAATTATGGTTGGTTTAGTTCTGCATTGCGTACTGATTTCGTCTCCCCCTGCAGAGTTATTCCCAAGACGCTCATGCCTCGAGAGGTATGTTTCCTCCAGCCAAATAAAAGTCTTTCAACTTTCCGGTTGCAAAGAATACAATATATATGTATATATATAAACACATTGTTTATATGTGTGTATATTTGTAGGGATTAAGATTAATGCTCTGTTCTTTCTTTTTAATCACTTGCTTTGCTCTGTTCTGTCTTTTTAGTCACTTGCTTTTCATTTTTCTTCTGAGTGGGGATGATGTGAGCACTTTTAGCTACTGTTTTCTGGTTCATTTTGTTTTTCTCCCTTTTGGGTTTTGTTTTCTTGCTTTTGGGTTGTGTTATTCTCTGTTTGGCTCCCTAGAATTCTGTTTCTTCTTCAATGGATGCTTTGGTTGGGGAGGCTTATCCATTACACACTTGAGTACTTGGCACTAGCCCAATAACCCTAATAATAATATCCCACATTTCTGATTCTTTTGAGTTTCTAGTGTACTTCCGGTATCTTAGACTCCGGGCGGGTTACTGTTAGATCATTGGTTAAAAGATATAATTACCAAGACCTAACGGCCAAATCAGTCCAAGTATCAGATACTCCGGAGTTGTATAAAATATTCGTCATCCCGTGCTCACTTGAGCTATAAAGTAGTTTTGCTTCTTGTGCTTTTCTGTCTTGGCATTTTCTATCTATCGAACTTTGTTTAGTCTTACATCTCAAAACTACTGGCTGGGGTTCAAATTTCGTTTCTGCAACTCATCATTGCGTTGCTGCACAAACCTACAAATTTCCCTCTCCCTTCTTTCTCTCTCTAATTGTTTAATTTGTTTGTTTTGTCGTGTGCATTGATGCCATTTTGCAGATAACTGGTGAGACTGTGGGGGAAGTGAAGGCAGTTGCAGACATGCATCAAAGAAAGGCAGAGATGGCTAAGCACTCGGATGCTTTTATTGCCTTGCCCGGTTAGTATAAGTCCTCAACCAATCTCTCTCTCTCTCTCTCTCTCTCTCATACACCAGAATTCTTAAACATATCAAAAAACATACGGTCCTTCATGGCTTTAATTTTACCAATTTTAGCATGCAAGTCCACTTTTTAGTTCTTGTGAATAGTTCAAAGTTGGTATTCGTTCAATGGTACTGTCGTTGGATATGCAATGCATGACAGACGAGAACTTACATCAGGAAAACTCGAATTTAGACTAGAAGAGATCAAAACCCAACAAACAAATTTGGAAATAAGTGGAAGCTTTTTATCCTTCCCGAACTGAGTACATGACAAAACATTGAAGCACAAAGATTTGGCAAGAGAAAATGTAAAAATGTTGATAATTTACTGTTGAAACAATCTGTGCTTTGTGGTATGAAAGCACTGATAGTTGACAATGTTGACTGAGATTGTGATTGTATAAATTTGTAAATTATGAAAAATTCCTCTAACACAAAACCCAAGAAACACCCTGATTAAGAGGGCAACTCATCAAAGAGTCCCCGGAGCATGACACGTCAACATCTTACACTGAAAATTATATATAGGCTTTCCGAGGAAATCTGCCTCTGCTTGTGCGGGTTAATATCCTGTTTAGCTAAATATAGTCGTTAGCTGTATATATTGACTTGCACCAATTCGGTTTGCCAACGAGCACCTGCACCAGCACCTGATGCTCACCACTTCCATTCATATACCGACATCCGGAGTTTTCCTTGCATTTGAGTTTGAATTTTCCTCCTTGTAAATTTTTAGTTTAGGATATCCGTCTTTAAAATAAATAATTAAAAAAAATCCCTCTGCAAGCATATGTTTTTTACAGTAAAAATGTAACAGTAAAAGTGTAAGTATTCATATTCCATGGTCAAAACATTACACCAAGGTTAAAAAGTCCAGACGGAACAAGTCGGTATTTTCGAATCTCTTTTTACCCTTCCACCCCAACAAAATCCTTGTCCTTATCCTAGTACTAGTTGTCTTGTTTTGCCCCTCTATTCTGTGGGAGAGAATCTTACCTATCCCGACTGTATCTTTTATTGTGCTTATCTCTTTCATTACGTACGTGTTAACTTGACTATTACCAATGGAAGACGTGTGCGAACTGTGAAGCTTCTGGGACTGCAAAAGCTGATTTAGTTTTTCACTGCAGGTGGTTATGGAACTCTGGAAGAGTTACTTGAGGTCATCACATGGGCTCAGCTTGGAATTCATGACAAGCCAGTAATTCCCTTTTTTCTGCATTTTTATTACTAGTTGAACGTAAAACTCATCAACTTTTTAGGCTTATCCACCTATCGTTCTTGTCTGTGTGCAGGTGGGATTGCTGAATGTCGATGGATACTACAATTCCTTGCTATCGTTCATCGACAAGGCCGTGGAAGAGGGATTTGTTAGCCCAAGCGCACGCCACATAATTATATCGGCACCAACAGCCAAGGAGCTGGTGAAGAAACTGGAGGTAATTTCAAAACACTGTTTAAAATACTCTAATCTACGGGATAGAGAGGGATTCGAACTCTTATGCAAGGGGACGGGAGCACATCGCTTGGCTTGAAAATTTGTTTTGATGTTTAGTTACTTTCGGTGGTGCAGGATTATGTCCCATGTCATGAAAGAGTTGCTCCAAAGTTGAATTGGGACGTAGAGCAGCTTGGCTACACACAAGAATATGACATCTCTAGGTGATATTATGGGCTTGCAAGGCAGGCATTCAACCACTAAAGCACTAAAGCTCGTTGGAATTTTGGAAGTTGAAGAGGCTAATTTGTAGAACTCTAAATTTCAGATATGGGGATCTTTTTTTTTGTTTTTGTTTTTCCAATGTAAATTATTGGAATTGACCTCACTATGTGAAGCTTCAATATTCTATGTTTGTGGAAGTTTCCTTCCCATTTCTTAACTTGTAAGTAACTGAACAGCACTTGAGGCTTTTGTGAACCTTCCCCTATATTAACTAATTTATACATTTATTGTTCAGCACATATGCTTTTGTTTTCACTTTGTTGTGTCTTACCGCAAGCAGTTTGTAACTCAAGCGATTAATACCATGTATCTCTGCATTCGGGGTACCGTGTTCAATTCTCCTCCCATAATATTGCTTGTATCAGTGAATTGAGCAAATGGGTTGACAATGCATTAACACGTTGTTGGAAAAACAGAACCAATGGTCCCATTTAGAAGGACTAACAAAGAAAGAAGGAAAGAAAGAGGTTGGCAATTGTTGTTTGCAGACACAGATAGAGTCCCATCTTTTCAAGCAATGCTTTTGTGTTAAGGTTGGGAAGCTAAGGCCAACACCAAGAGTAGGGCTTCAAGCCAACAAACCAAAGGTGTGAGTCATTTGTCAAGTAAGTGTTTGATTGGAATTTGGAGGAAAGGGGGCCAATCTTGAGAAAAACAAAGGGGTTCCCTTTGCTGTCGGACGAATGGGACAATGACATGTGACTTGTGGCCTATGGAGGGCCACTTGTTATGTACATAGAAAAGTAAAAGGCCAATTTTCTGGGACAGTTAGGACCCAGTTTCTTCTAGGTGCCTGTGGTTGATTCCACTAACTGTGTAAGATTCTTACTTGTGAAAAGGGGATATATTCTCGTGTCACTCTATCATTGATTTAGTAATTTAACTAGTAATTGAAGATATATCTCTCTTTTTCTCTCACTCATTATGTGACCCTGCTCTTTCATTTATCTCGTTCATCACGTGACTCTATATCTTTGTCTTTCTCACTCATCACGAAACACCATACACGTAACTGGAAATATAGTCCTCTCTCTCAATGGACACTCATCATGTGGCACCATGCATGTAACTGGAAACGTATCATTCTCTATAACTAATGTGACCATACTACCTCTCTTTCTATCTTAATCATCACATAACTCTATTCTCCACTCTTTATCTCACTTACCAAATCACACCATACAGTAACAAGAATACATCTCTTTTTCTCTATTTCACTCGTCACGTGAAAGAGAGAGAGGTATATGTCCGATCACATCCAAAGCTCTTGTTGATTTGAGCCCTTGAGGGGTCAATTTTTGGAGTTTCTTGGTAGAGGTTCTTTTTCAAACTTCCAGTGTGAAAAATACAAAGATGGGACAAAGAGAGGTGGTGTTGATCAAGCGATGGTGGAAACATTAGGAATAAGAGTAAAAGGACAAAACTCCTACACTGCAGTCCTATCTGTTATGATTTTTGCCAATAGGCCCAAAGCTTTATTGAAAAAGAGGGAAACAAGTGTTCATTTTTTGAGAAAGTTTCTCAGACCCAGTTAGGCTGAAAATGTACGAGAAAATCTCCAGGAAATTCAATCTATGACACCAGTTCGAATAGGACATTATCGGATTCCATTTCTACAGTTGTAGCAAGGACTCATAGATGTAAATCGTGTGAATCTGTGAGACGTGACACGTGTGCTGGGTTGTCGTGACATGGTGCATTGACCAATTCTTCAATATTTCTTTTCCTTTTGAAGACGAAGAATTATGATTTTGATCCATATAGTTTGTACTTATCTTCTATTTCGGACCTCATAGATTAGAATAGCGGATTAGAGCATGCAATGTTTGCAGTTTACCGTGCTAGTATCGGCCCAACTCAAGCAAACTCAACTTATATGAGGTAGCGAATTTCTAACATTTAGAGTAGAAGTGTGAATAATAAGACTCAAGGTCTAAATAAAAGATCTTATGAAATTAAATTCTTTTTAATTTCAGCCACCTATGTTCAACAAGGTAAATAATTTGATTGAATTGAATAACAACCTAACTTCTTCTAAACAATGCACCACTTAATCCAATTTACAGATGCAAGAGAATAAGCAACTTCTACCATTCAAGAAATAATGGAATATATTGAATAAAAAATTTAAAACAAAAATTAGGGCTTGAGGTTGAAAGAGAGCCACTCACTAGCTGTTTTCATGAGTTTGTTGTCCATTGCAGCATGATGTTGGTACCGGAATCCGATCTGTGGGCTTCGATTCTTTCGGATTGCAAGGCTCCAACTTTTTTCTAAAACCTAACCTTATGGGAAGGATGCTCCAACTTCTCTTGGTCTTGACCAGCTTCTGGAGCTCCTTCTTCATGCTTGAACACTCCCTTTGAAGCTCTAATACACGTTCCCTCATGTCATGATGATCGAAACCCACAGCTTGGTCTTGTGGAGCGTCCACCTGACCGGACACATCATTTTTGGCGGGGAGCCCAAGGTTTCCGCTGGGATTTTGTGAGTTCTCAAGATTGTCAACAAAGAACCAGCCAGAAATTGACGTGCGGAGTCGAAGCTGTTCAAAGAAAAGGACTTGAACAATTACTCGAAGAGGTAATCTCTCGTTCTGAGCTGCATGCGTACTGGCTTCCAGAGAAAGCTTCTGGCAGTTCATGAGTCTGCAGAGTTGCTCCCTTTCAGCATCTGTAAGCCAAGGATGTGCCTGAGGTTGTGAAAAATGCAATGTTGTTAGCATGCATGATCAGGACACCAAAGTCGTAGAAAAATATTACCCCAACAATGTATGTTACGCCTGGTTATAGTAACATATTAGTAATGTCCTAGTTTAAAAATTGGGAATTTTTCGAGTACTGATGACGGTCACATATGAACCGCTGATGTAAAATTTACAGTGCAATGCTATTCACAGAATTCTAGCTAAATAGAAATCTAACTTCAGAAACAAGAAACCAGCGACATTTTCGCCAGACTATATCTAAGGTGAAACCAAATATCATTATGTCATGAAGATAAGTTCATACGCCATGCACTTAAGTTTGATTTACCTTCAAGAAAACATCGATTGCATGATATATGCCATCATCCACTGGCCGGGCATATTCAGGGATGACAGCAGCAAGTGCCTGAAATTTTGGTAACTTCAAATTAACATCTGGCGCTACCTCGGCAAGGTATCCATCCACCAGACTGGCTACCATAGTAATAGGTGTCAGTGGATCAGTGCCAGTCATTAGTTGCCCCTCTTCGATTATGCATGGGGAAGATGAGGCAAGTGAAGCCTGGTTTACTGACATGAAATGATCAAGAATCCTCTGAATGCAGTCTATGTCGTAAAGAGTCTCCACAGAATAGCCCATATTTGGTATGAGAAGATCTATGAGCACGGCTTGGTCCAACTGGGCACCTACCCTTTTCTCCAAATTTTCTCTGCATGACGGACTTGCATGTAAGATCATAGCCGTTCGTAGCAGCCTAAGGAGAAACTTGGAGGATGTGACTCCTTTCTTATGAGGAAGTAACCCCATGATATCTTCAAGTAGAGCCCTCTGGTCTGCCTCAGAAATGTTAGAAATGGTGGTGCCTGAGTTTACATAGTTTGTGTCATGAAAGCTCGATTGTCTATTCATCAAGGGGAGATACTTTCTAACATAGAATATGAGAGAAGCGGCAATACTCTCAGGCCTCATTCCTTTCAATTCAACAGCTTGAATCAATCGCTTATAGAGAGGTAAGCTAAGTAAGGATGCATCTTCATACCACCAATCATCAGCGAGAGGTTGGGGCTTAGCATCATCAGAAGTTATTCCGTTCCATGACGCTGTTGGGTTCTTCATGTCATTTTCTCCTGATAATATAGGCCAACTGAATAACTTTGGATCTGCACAAGCTTTGATAGCCAAGGAATCAATGCATCGTGAAGCAATGTGGAGCTCTTCGGCATATTGTTGAACTTCTTCGCATGTTTCAAGAGCTACTATGGAGTCTCTCCAATTGCTGAAGACTTCAGTAAGGAAAACCTCTGTTTGCGCAATGAGATTTCCTTGTTCGTAATCTTCAGTCATTTGGAGGTATTCTGCTGCACATCTAAGGATGACTACGTTCATAGCAGTCAGTTCTATTTTGACGCCATAGCAGAATTTGGTTACAAGCTCAAATGCTTTAGCTCCCCCGGGCACACCATGAAGTTGCAAGGCACAAGAAGATCCTTCCTCACTAGAACACTCTTCGATAAGCCTCTCTAGTAGCCCACTTTTAGAAAGCAACGGAAACTGCAGTAATGGCCAACATGAGTACTAAAATGAGAGCATAGCTCGCACCCCAATAAAAGTCCGACTAAATAAGAAAATTACAAAACAAGTGTAGACAGAGCAAATGGAAATCAATACAATGATGCGCGTGCACACACACACACACAAAATGTTATTGTTTTCAACTGGCAAGATATATCAAACAAAATGCACCTTGTGGAGGTGAAAAGACATTTCCCCAACTTGAATCACAACATCGCTCGGAAGCCCAGTTGTGCAAAGCCTGAATGAGAAACACAAATCAGATCCATATAAACATAACTTAAATCACCTAATATAGTCATAACTCAATAGCATTAATTATCACAGAATCAAATACATTGCAGGAGACATCATAATAGTCCTCAAAAGAATCCATCCTTGCTAGTCTTTATACAAACCCCATGTGGTCGGCAGCTAGCAGGACTCTAATCCAATAAATGGGTTCACCTCACGTTCATATAAACAAAACCCGTAGCTACTTTCTGTTGGTAATGAATTCTCTATCAAGGGGGTTCCCAAATTATACGTAATTAACACATGCATATATAATCAAAGTACTAAACTTTCTTGCTTCTTACATATTACCGAGTACAACAAGCAAACACCAGATGGGCAATTTCTAGTTCATCGATTATATCCATTGGTTTGTAATAGTGCATCAGAGCATATGAAAAAAGGGGTTACCAAGTTTGGCCTTCGCGATGGAATGCTTCAGACTTAGCTCCAAGCTTCATGCAAGCCATGAGTTCTGGTGGTGGTTTTGTAAAATGGGCAAGCTTGGAATCATGAAATTATTAAGTGAAGCAAGAAATGCCGATCAGATAAAGACTTCGGTGAAAATGTGAGCGAGAGTGAACGTGGCATGCTTATCATTTGTGGAAAATACTTTCAAAGTTTAGAGAGAGAGAGAGAGAAGTAGCGAGTCTAAAGCAAGAAGTGAAGGGGAGAAGGAAGCGGTTCAAACAGTTACAGTGGCTCCAACTGGGGTTGCGATTTAGACTCACTCTTGTTTCCCTTGTGTTTTGCTGTCACCTTCCTTTCCACTCCGACTCGGCTTTTTGCCACGTCTACAAATGTTCTCAGAAAAGGCCATAAGTTTTAGCTTGGGCTTCAAAAAACTGAATCCTCTTGAACCTAAGTTGTAACTGTTTGGACGTCATGGAAAAGTGTGAGTTGGGCTTGGGTTGGAATTTTTTGAACTTGTTAAATTTTGCCGTTAGGGTTCAGTTGATGCTATGTCCGTCCGTACTTTGTCAATCTCAAATAAAATCACACAGTACAGACAGACAGAGCTTCAACATATAACTTGTCCACACCCATAGCAAGGATTTGAAATCTTACATGTCCACTGTTGTTCATCCGTTGATTAATAAAGAAATGGCTCAACTGCATTTTACTTCTTAATCAATTTAGGTGATTTTTCAAAATGGATCATGAAATATTAATTTTCTTACATTAAATCCTTAGGTTTTGGAATCATATCAATTTATATTATTCATCTATTTTATTGTATGAATCCATTAAACTGATGATGTGGCAGATGTGAGACTTGTTTCTAGGTTGTGTAGAAGCTACACTTATACCATTGGAACCAAATTATGTGATTGGTTATAGTTTTAGATATGAAGCATTGATTGTGGAGAAACCGAGAAACCAAATCTGCATGATGACTAGTTTTGGTCTATATGGTACAAGTGTAATTTTCACGTTAACTCAAAAATTAGTCTCAAGCTTCTCACATCGTCAACGTAACGCAAAACCGAACAATCAAATGTATATATGGAAAAGCAAATATGTTATATGTATGTATTTTAAAAATCTCATAAGGCAATGTGCAAATATTGAAACTCATGACTTAATTTAAACAATCACTCCGAACCAAAATGTGTAAAATGTGATTAGCACTAAAAAAACTGTTTCCTTAAAACAGTGTTACGTCTAATATTTGGCTAATGCATAAAATAAGGACATCTTTCTAGCTATTAGATTATGTATGTACACTAAAATATTTATCGCGCCATAAGTTTGTATAAAAGTCGCGTGTTTGATTCCTCTATCCCCAATATCATCAAGAAAAGACATACATAAGCACTGAAAATATTGTTGGATAGGTGATAGATCAGAGTAGGATATGTTCAGCTTTCAGGATCCTCCGCTATAACTAAAAAAAAAACCGGAAATTGTTATTTATACTCTAAAATCTCATTTTGCATTCTGAACTTTCTATAATTAAAAAGAAAAATACATTTGTGATGAGGAGTATGTAATAAAATTTTTAGAATGCTAATAATAGTTTCCAAAAATATTTACATTAGCAAATGCATATCAAAAAATAAGTTATACTAAAGAGAAAGACAGATATGTGAGACGTATGATGAAACGGGTAGCAGGGATTTTCTCTTCTACTGAAAGAGTGAAAGACAGCACCTAGCTAGCTAAGTCATAGACTCATATATAGGAGCGTGGTAATAAAGGAAAATAACAAGACCAAAGTTCCTTGAAACGATTAAAAAAATGGAAGTTTGATTTGAGCATGGGGTGGTGTTGGTTTTGGGGATGGGAACCCAGAAACCCCCATAACCCAGCAGTCCCGCCAGGCCAGCTCAAGAATTTACTGTAAATATCCGTTTCGTGGACCATTTATATGAGTCTTAATGCTAGCCCATTGTTATGTTTTTAAATTTAATTACTTGAGAAGCTTTTACGAATGTTACAAATCACATCATGTAATCAAGTGGCTGCGCCGGCATCGGCAGCCCAGCCGGCTCTGCATCCACCTCCGCCAACCTGTTCTCCATGTGTGTGACTTTAATGTTGTCCCCAATTAATCCAATATATATATATATATATGTATGTATGTATATATGTATGTATGTATATATGTATATTTTAGTATATAAATATATATATATGTATGTATGGTGTATATTATTCAAGTATATCTAAATCTATAGTCTTTATTAGTATGTTTGAGCAGCCTGCCTGCCTTTGAGTTTGAGGGCCACCTGCATTGCATGGAGAGGATGCGACTCTAAACTCCAAAGTCGTAAGATAAAATGCATGAAAGATGTGAGCCCTCCACTCACAACTCAGTGACCACTCTATTCATCCCACTAAGACAGTTTAGATAGTTGACCCACACTCATTACTAATTAGGCTGCACTAATTAGACTTAAGTCTAAATTTGTTAGATTAATTAATGATATTGTCTACAAATTAGAATACAAAGTTAGAAACAACGTAAATATATAAACAATAATGATCTTCGATATATAATCTTTATATGTTATTGTTTGGGCTCAAAATATTATTTTGGGCCGAGCCTGGGATTATTCTCGGCCCAATGGCATTTATCTAGAATTTTCTTGTGGGCCGTCCAGTGAAGGCCGGTCGAATCCTGTTGCGAAGAGGATTAGTTTAGATAAAGGGTGAAGTAGTCGATTCCTAGTGAAACAAGGAGTTTTGAAGCCGAAGGTGCTTGGGATCAAGAGATGAATCTGGTTTGTTATGGAGTTTGGTTCAAAGTCCTATTGGAGCTAGGATTGGCGAAAATCTAATCAAATTGGGTTGAGGACTTCTAATCCAAGTATGATTCTAGCTTGGCCATGAAGGGGTTTGCTACTATAAATTGAGGAGGGAGTGCATCATTCAAGGCCGCCAATTCAACACACAAATTGCCCTGCGTAAAGCTTCTCAACAACCTAAGATTTTATCCTTCTCCCCTTTCTTCCGCCAACATATCTTCAGTTTGGGTAAACAGTACTGTGAAGGCAATCGGCAACATCTTCAGTTTGGATAAACAGCACTGGAGCCATAGAATCAGCTGATCAAGAAGCACCTTCATTTTGGATAAACAACACTGCTTCGAGACCCACTGATTACCTATCCAAGTCTCGATCGACAAGGATTTTCGAGTCCTTATTGATAGAGGTCATCTTATCAACCTTCTCGGCAAAATGAGGTGTTACAGGTTACTAGGCTCGGCACGTTGAACGCTGAGTTGTTTTATGATTGGATATTCACAAGTACACTTTAGAGTTCAGCATTCCGACGATCGAACCACATTTACTATCAAGACATACATCTATTTTGAGTATTTGTGTCCATATAGTCTGGTACTAATTCGGCGTGCTTACACTTTCACAAATATAATCACTGTGACCGAACCCGGCGCTAACGATTTGTGAATTTCATAGAACTAGCAGTCTTATCTTCAGGCTGTAGAACCGATAGGCTAAGACGCGTTCCTTCCTCGGCCGCAGTCGCAGGATCAAGAAGTTAGCAACGTGCCCAACGCCCTATCAACATATTTTACTCCCTGGCCGAACTCGACCGACGAGTTGGTATGCCTCGCACATAACCGAATGACGTAGTTAGCTTATTAGTTACTCGGCCTACGCACCACGTAGGCTTGGTAGTTTTTAGGGTTAACAGTTACATATCCACCTAGCTAGTTTCGCAGATTTAGAATCATAATTAATTTTGTAGTGAACTAAGTCACATGTCTCCTCTTAAAAGATTAATGAGAGTTTAACTAATTCTAGTTTGAGCTTGAGTAGGTAGTGTAAGAACAAGTTTATGACTTCTTATCCAAGGAACATGAATTCATCCAATTGAATCACAACTTATACAAACCTTTTATTGAACACACTCAGAACCAAAGCCTTAAAACATACCTGCATTATTCGATACTGATGAAGAAGCCATTGCAGCTTCTATGCTCAAAACCTTCTCCTCTTTTGCGATAATAATAGCTCTTCTAATCAATAGGTCTTAGAACAAAATAAGTCATTGATCGCAAAAATAGTAGTTTAAGCTATATATAGTACTCCTCCGTCCATTCCCTGTTATAATTAAACTAGGATTCAAACTACACAAACCGTAAAGAATTATGAGACCTTATAAAGTTCCAATACTAAGTTCTCTTCCAAAACCAATTTGAACTTTTCTCTCAATTCTGTTATCTTAAAACATTGAGGACAACCAAATGGCTTTAATCAAGACTTGTCCATATAATCAAGGCTTTTCCATATCAATCTCAAACACTATGACTGGCTCTATCATGTATTTCATACTCATAATCTTACAGGTAGAAGAAAGAAATGATTCCTACTCCAAGGTCAAGTCAAGTTCTAACTATTTTCTCTTGAATTTGGGACCTAATTTTTAGGGATTGACAATCTTTTTTCATAGTCAAGTTTATGATAACTTGTCACATCCCGGCCCAGGTGAGACCACTTCCCGGGCCCGCTTTCACCACCGTAGCACGATATTGTCCGCTTTGGGCTTACCATTCCCTCACGGTTTTGTTTTTGGGAACTCACGAGCAACTTCCCAGAGGGTCACCCATCATGGGATTGCTCTAGCCCCTTCTCGCTTAACTTCAGAGTTCCTACAGAACCCGAAGCCAGTGAGCTCCCAAAAGGCCTCGTGTTAGGTAGAGATGGGAATATACATATAAGGATCACTCCCCTGGGCGATGTGGGATGTCACAATCCACCCCCCTTAGGGGCCCGACGTCCACGTCGGCACACATGCGACCAGGGTTAGGCTCTGATACCAAATTGTCACATCCCGGCCCGGGGCGGATCACTTCCCGGGCCCGCTCCACCACCGTAGCACGATATTTTCCGCTTTGGGCTTACCATTCCCTCACGGTTTTGTTTTTGGGAACTCACACGAGAACTTCCCGATGGGTCACCCATCCTGGGATTGCTCTCGAGCACTTCTCGCTCAACTTCGGAGTTCCTACAGAACCCGAAGCCAGTGAGCTCCCAAAAGGCCTCGTGCTAGGTAGGATGGGAATATACATTTAAGGATCACCCCTGAGCGATGTGGGATGTCACAATCCACCCCCCTTAAGGGCCCGACGTCCTCGTCGGCACATTTCCGGCCAGGGATAGGCTTTGATACCAATGTCACATCCCGGCCCGGGTGGGACCACTTCCCGGGCCCGCTTCCACCACCGTAGCACGATATTGTCTGCTTTGGGCTTACCATTCCCTCACGGTTTTGTT